TTATTGGCTCGACGCCCCTCTGCTCCCTCCGACCTCGGCCGTTGCTAGGTCACCTGATTTGGTGTTTTCGTATGTCCTCGGCAAAAAAATATGGTCTACGGCGTACATATACATATCTGCTGTACGCCTCCTAACAAAATATTGACAAATTAGGCATGTACGTGGAACTATAATGTTGGCCACAGGGACCTCAAAATCGCGATAGTCCAACGTCTCTCTACACAGAACTCACCGGAGCCTTGTCCGATTTTAGATCTTCCAAACTTTTTCGGACAAGTGGGTCCAGATCCGGCCGAGCATCTGGGCCAAGCTACTCTACATGGGACATTGTAAGGACGTTCATGCCTGCTGCGCCCTTTGTAGATGCGATGTTATTGATCCCTTACTTCATGGTCTGCGAATACACAAGCCTCCAATGTCTATTTCTCGGCTAAACTTCTAGTATTTTTCCTTCCCACCTCGCCTACCCAACCTAGCATAGAGGTCAACCATCCTTTCGTTATTTCGAAAACTTCGCTCTTCTATACTAGTGTTCTACCTTTGGCTTGGATGATTTCCTAGGGGTACATCGAATTTCTGTGTATCCTCGGAATAGCAGTTAACATATATAATATATTACTAAGTCAAGTAGGATATAAGGGAACAAAAAACAAAATCAATAAAGCTTCGTATAGACCGGGTTGGAAATCTTAGTAAATATTAACCCTACGTTTCCAAGGTTATCCCCACATCCCTGTCGATCGTACTGTACTAGCTAAGCTGAGACTTATCTGCATCGTATCTTTTTAGCCCAGGGCCGATTAAGGGCGATGAAGTGTGCTACCAAGGACTTTAGTCCTATTGGCTATTACTGCCAGCAACATATTACTTAGATACACTTCCTCCCCATTTCATTGCCGAGGGCTCGTGTACCGGGGCACTAGAGCCCCGGGGGTAAACTCCATAGGTAAAGGTACTGGTGTTTAGCAATCGAAGGTTATATATAGAAAATCTCCTGCACATTTCATACCTTTTACGTCCTTCGTATACATCTAAAAAAGAACATCCAAAAAGACATAAAAAGGCCGCATAAGCAGCCGACTACTTGTATCGTACGACTTACATTGACCTTACTCATCATAGTACACATAGAACAAGAGTTTTTTTTTTTTGCCTGATCTATACGAACAAAAGTCCCCATTGATAGATTCTATAAGTACTTTATAATGATGTAATACCTTTCAAATAAAAAGAAAATTGGTGAAAGTTCATATGTCTACGTTGTACGTCGACATAATCGACATGTATCCCTATATATAGTTACCAGATTTTAGGCTGCGGATACGACTTTCCCGATCGGGGTGCCGCCGCTTTATGAGGGCGCTCAGGGTCCTGCTCTTTGAGTATTTCACAGTACAGGGTGATTGCTTAGTGAGCACTCAGGTCTTGCTCACTCAGACTGCGCTCAGTGAGCGTCATCTTGCCGCCCGAAAATAAAGGCCGAATTTGTCACGTGACAAGTGGATCACTTTTTACCTATATGGACAAATGCTGGAAATGTTAGAACTAGAGACAGGCTATATTTAGGACTAGAAAGGGCAAAAAGGCAATCAGGATATGTAGAACCTCAAAAGTCCGATATTAACGCGTCGTTTACCCCTAATAAAACCCTAAGAACATAGTATATTAAACATACAATACTTCCACACAATTCTTATCCCAAGAACAACTAGATATTCTTCTAGAAATAGTACAGCTGAGACTATTTAGCATGTATAGGACTCTATCAAAGTGAAAAGTACTGTGAAAAGTACTATGAGAGGTAGCACTGTCTAATCTCTTTATATATAGAAAGAAGCCCATATTTATAGTTACTTTTTCCTAAGGAATCAATCATAATCAATAATATAAAGCTATAATTAACATAATATGGGCCGAATTGAAATGTCGAGGCGCCGATACAGTGTGATAATAACTTACATATAAAAGAAAGCAAAAGTACCATCAGACTACAGTCAGCTGAGGACATTAGTTTTGCTCTAGTAGGAATTAGGATCTTTTGCAAATCATATATCTAGATCCCTAAATTAGGAAAATGAAATCTTAATCATTGAGGATGAACTAGGATTTTTCAAGAATTCCTTACTAGCTAAGCAATATAAAGAATTGTTATAAATTATTCAATGGAAGTTCCCTGATCAAGATATTCCAAATAGACGTTTGATCTACGCTACAACCTATAGTATAGAGGATTGATATACGATGTTAGAGGCTTCGACTTGCTATACCACACACTATTCGATTTCCAAAATAACGGAAAGGACTTTTCTTACTCGCCTGTGATGAGCTACAGAACTTTATATCTAACTAAAAAGCTTTATATTGAACTACCTAAAACGTGATTATGCATGAATCTGCACAGTGTAAAGCCTCATTTTACCTACGGAGTACTAGAGACAGCTGATAGAACTTGAACTATAGTATCTTCCTTGTTAAGGCAACTGTAAGAGTAATTTAGGTAGTTATTTTATTTCTTCTGTTGGTCTTAATTCAGGCCTGCAGGCCAGAATCAGGCACTAAGAAAGCACCGCCCCTGGGCTGTAATAAGTATGTATAAGCCAGTGCCAATGATTATCATGTTGATGTTTGTACATACCCATTATGCATTTTACGCAGGCCTCGCGGATTTCTAGATAGCCATAGGGATATTCGTTGATTCTATTAGTCGCGTTGGAGACGCTAGCTTCATTTTGTTCTCAAGTTAATATAAGTCTGGTGAGACTCACCTGGGATCGAACGTAGCCTCATGACTACAGAAATCTTTGTCCCAATACACCTGTTGTTTAGTCATGGAGATTTGTCTTGTCAGTGAGATGCTAAGCTAGACGCTGACATGGGACTGATGTCACTGACGTCCACCACTATCTAGCTAAGCTATATCCCCCTTAGCCTCAGTAAATTCAACTCTACAAATCCATCTCGGAGACACGATGGCCATGGATAATGTAGACCCAGCCGGTCGCGGCTTCCTAGGCGACCTTACACCTTCCGTTCTCCCAGTCTACCAATATCGGGACCGGGAGCAGTTGCTCAACACCGTCAAGCAAGCAGCTGCAACAGCAAGCAAGGCCACTACCAGTGAATGGTGTCTTATCGAACACGTTAACAATTCAATCTTCACAAGTGAATTTCTTCCGGCAAAAGAGGGCCCATTTGCTTCCTGGTCCTCGTATGACGCCCAATTAGACCGTGTGCTATTAAGAATGGCAAAGTCTAAAGCCCATGAAGTCGCTTCGGAAATCTTCCACGACGTACTCCACGATGCAGTCAAGTCTATGGGGATGAATCGCTCCCTTCACCCAACCGGAAGTGCTACCCACCATGCTGCAATGGGGGGTAAAGAAGCCGACAAGGCGTGGCAGCCAATCCGACTCCCACGCGGCCGATCAAAGGACTGGCCCAGTGTCGTACTGGAAGTTGCTTTCTCAGAGAGTAGGGCCAAGCTGCAGTCAGATGTAAGATACTGGCTCCGAGCTTCAGGGGGTGATGTAAATGTGGTAATCACCCTCCAAATCAATCAACACTCCCCCAACATCACCATCGAGAATTGGGGAACCCAGGGCAACAAACCTGTCAACCACCTTCATCAAACCATTCAGATCTCAAGGAAGGGCAGTAAAATCACAAACACAGGGTCTCCTCTGGTTATCGAGTTCGAAAAGCTCTTCCTGAGACCCCCCACCGAACCGAGAGAACGAAACATTCAGATCGACGACGGGGACCTACAATTCTTAGCAGAGAGTGTTTGGGACTGGCAGGGGATGTGAAAATAGAGACTAATTTTCAAGAAGTGTATGCATCCTTAGCTGTGTGAGATCATGTTTCTTGTTTCTTGGTGCCCTACAGTTTAGCAGCATTAATATTCTCATCCATTGTGCCAGTGTTCTCGCCCCTATTATTCCCCTTCTGGAAGCCGATCCGGCTACTTTTCTGGATAGCTATAAAACTACTATTATTAGGTAATGGCATGGGCTATTGCCCCGGTAAACAAGATAGTCAGCACCAACAAGGACAAGCCAAGTTACCTTTAGTTCACACGTAATGGGGATGAAGTGGGAAGGAAGAAGGGAACCTACCTATGTAGATGCATACATATGGACCTACGGTATAATACCTACATGCGCATACATGTAGGTATCCACCTGGGCAGGTGCCCAGGTGGGCATGCTCAGGGTATGCTTGGCCAGAATTCAGGTAGCGAGGCGCCCACGGACAGAAACGTACTTTTCTGAGGCCAGATTCGGGCACTTAGGCATAAATCTCGAGTTTCGAACCCTAGTTACAGCATTCCAAGGTTCAAGGTTCCAAGGTTCGTGGCCCATTTCCTAAATAGGCTTAGTAGTGACTGACTTCCATTGTTCTCAGGTGTGTACCTATTTCCTACATAGGATTAGTAGCAAATGACTTTGGACCATTATGTAATACATAGGGGCGTGCTCGGTTTTACTCAGTAAGCAAAAAGCGGCAAGAGGTGAGCACTAAAACGGAAAGGGAAAGCGCGGCCTAAATTCCGGTGTATATGTATCTATACGTACCGGATTATGTGGGGCTTTCCTCTTTGAGCTACTGCTGCTTTTATGGGGGTGCTCAGTAGACCTCAAGATAGCCCATTGATGGGGGCCTTATACGCCCCTATTAAAGCCTATTTCTATACATAAAAATAAAATAGTGTTAGCACGTATAAAGTAGCTGATTAATAGCTATATTTTACGTATGTACCAACCTATACATGTAGTATTATTATATTTTTATAGTAAGAAGTGGGAATTAAGTAGATATTATACTGATCTTAGTATTATGATACTAGATTTCATATAAATTTCATGCAAAATCACCTTAAAAAGATCCAATTTGACCCGTAGATCACGAATTCACACGTAAGAGGATTACTGAGTATGATCCTCGACCCCCATTCGGCTCAATCCATCTACAACCCCAACTCGGTGTTTGTCTTCGCTATAATGGTGGCAACCATCATCGCAGTACGGCTTGGGACGGCGGCCGTTGAAATACATATTATGTTGCAGTTCATGTTGGGCTTGCATCTGTGGCTCATGAGCCCCGATCGGCTTGTTAAGCTGGAGGCAATGACAACCGCAGCGCTCAATTCATGTTGGAATGTTGAAAAGGCTAGGCCAGGTCACCTATTCAAGAAGCTGTCGACAGACGTGGCCCAACGGGAGATGACTATCACTCGCATATTGTTCTTGCTCCCTATGACGTCCCTCAACATATTGTCGGCCTTACAGCCCCCTGAACTCTCCTGGTCGGGGGTGGGTTGGAGAATGAGTACAGCCGCTGTGATTGCCGCTTACAACCTAGCAGTCTGGTTCGATAATTCTAGTAGTGGTGCACAACAACCTCCTAGACAAGGCTGCGGGCCTCCCTACATCTTCCTCCTCTAAGAAACAATTAACCGGCCACGTTATTACTCTATGCCGCACCGCCGCTATTATCACAGCTATTGTGGGTTTTCCTGCGACTCTGCTCCTCTTTCACCTAACGATGCTGCTTTGGTGGTATGCTTGCCTTTTTCTATACCGCGATCTTATCTATTTCTTTAACCCAGCTGCGCCACAAGCTTTTCATTCCGCGCTTAGCAGAATCAATGCACTGCTAGGAAAGCATGGAATCCCATTCCTTAGTCTAGTGCCGTTGCCTATAACGGGGTCATTTAACTTCCCATTGATAACGCTCACGGACGTACTCGGCTTCCTACCTACGCCTAAAGGGGACGCAATCAGATTCTCCGATGTGATCAAGGTCTGTGTATCACTAGGGACTGGAAAAGTGACAAAAAATGAGGCAGACACATCTATACATAGTGTAGGGTTGATGCCAGGCTGGAAAAAAGCTAAGTACGCGACACTATTGTATAACTCCTGTTCTATGAAAAAGGCTCCTAATTTTTATAAGATGGATTCCGTCATCGGATTTTCTGTTCCCTATGGAAAGTCTACGTCGTCCTAAGCATCGCATGGTTTATCGCTAGCATTGTACACAATCTACTGGAACGGCATCTACGGCGTTAACGATATGAGGACGACGGGACAGCTTATTCCCTTTATCATTGGCTGTGTGAGCGCGTCGCAGGTTAACAAGAGGCCTATACTATTTGCCTACTCGAAGGTTAGTCAATACCCCAGGGCTAACTCTCAAGGTCGGGGAAAAAGCGGAAACCTAAGCCACCGCTTATATTGCTCGTTTATACTCACCCGGGCACCCGGGAATTAATTGCTAGCTTCTCTTGCTTCAGCGGCTAACAAATAAGCATAAATACTCCGATTAGGTAGACACTGGACTTAAATTGGAGGATGGTGAAAATGGTCCTCTGATCTTTAGGATTGTGAAGAGGAATAGAGGTGACAACTCAGGAAGAGGTCACAAGGGAAGATTACATTAGTAATGAAAAATTCGCAAGAGCCGATGCGAGGGTGTATATACGAAGTCAGCGTACCTGATATAAATGTGCATATCAATGTCTCTAGGCATAATCGGCTTCAGGATCAAACCCAAGTAATATATCAGTAAGTCAATTCAAGTTGTATATGCGCCATACATAATATCTACAAAATTTTTTGAAACCTAGTAATTGGAGGATGATCAGTTCCAAACGCCTTGTTTGAATATAGAGAGATGGACTCTAGATGGAAGGGGCAAATATTTGAAACCAGTGAGCAGATCTTCCTGGGAATTTCTTAGAAAATCACCTTAAGGATGATCGAATTGCTCGGAAACTGCACGGAATAGAAAGGGCATAAACTTTTTTTTGCCTACTTGGTATATACAGGCTCGGACTGGCTTCTACGTATCCTTGGGAGGTCGTCGATAAGTATAACTAGATGACTATAAACACACCAGTATCCATGAGTCCTTAATGTGCTGATTGTAGTATGCACCGCCTATTGAGACAAGACATAAAGCAGACTTTCCCCTTTGAAAAATCGGCTATGTACATATGTAGCCACAGTCCATTTTCCATATTTCCCCTATTTTCCCGGTTTCATCGGGCCGTATCTGGCACAATGCCGATTTTTAGGCCCACTCTCGGGATCCCCCAATCCGATACGCTCGGCTCGACACCCCACAGTCCAGGAACATACCTTAGGTACCTACGTACATCGTAGAGGAAAGTCACTTTGTAGATATAAAGGTATGAATCTAGGATGTAAGTAAATATAATTGAAGAACAACTAGGAGGATAGAGGAGAGAAATTCCATAATGAAAATGAATATTGGCTACATGTTGGCTATAGTCGAACATGTCGTCATAGCCAAATCCGGTAGAAAACCCCCGCGAGAGGAAAATCAACCAACCAATCAGAAATCGTGGAGTTGTTGATTAATGGAGACCCTGGGGAGAGTCTCATGCCACCTCCCCGCAAAGTGGCTGCGCGCAGTCACCGAACTTCCCAAACAGGCAAAAATGGCCCTGCTGTAACCCCACGTGCCTAACCATTTTACCCGGGGGAATCGGGGAATATGGGGACATCTGTTTGAGAAATTACACACAAATTACCACTCTAGCTCTTCTACTTTTTTTTTACTCCTTTTACCTCTTCTGTTCCTCTTTTCCTCTTTCTCATTCTCAATTCCTCTCCTCACTTTCACGCCTTCACTTTTCCTCTACCCCGCCATGTCACTCCAACAAGAGCTCGTGCCGCAAACAGAATCCATCGCGGAAGTCTACGCAACGGACGACGCCTCGGTGAATTCGGTTGCACCAGAACACCAGCAGCGATGGACAAATCTCATTACCCAGTTCAATAAGACATATAACCACCGTCCAGACTTCGTGGCGCGCAGTCCCGGCCGCGTAAACATCATCGGCGAGCACATTGATTACTCACTGTACGATGTTTTGCCAACCGCCGTTAGCGTCGACGTGATCATGGCCGTCAAGGTGGTCCCCGCCAGCGCGGAGGGCACTACCATCACGATCGCCAATGTCTCGCCAGAGAAGTTCCCCACACGCGAGTTCAGCGTGCCCCACGATAAGGACGTCGAGATTGACCCCAAGAAGCACGAATGGGTGAACTATTTCCGCGCTGGTCTGTCAGGTGCTCTCAAGTTCCTACGCAAGGGGAAGCCCGATGGTTCGCTTGTTCCTGCCAGCATGCAGATCTTGGTCGACGGCAATGTACCACCTGGTGGTGGTATCTCCAGCAGTGCTGCCTTCGTGTGCGCCAGTGCCCTGGCTGTCATGAAGGCCAACAATCACGACGTCTCCAAGCAGGATCTGTTGGATCTGGCTGTTGTCTCGGAGCGGGCTGTCGGCGTTTATTCCGGCGGGTGAGTTATCCCCCCGTCATCAGACGACAGAATCCAACAGAAAGCTAACATCACTGCGTAACTATAGCATGGACCAAGCAGCATCTATCTTCTCAAAGCGCGGCTACCTGCTCTACACCCAATTCTTCCCTAAATTCAAAGCCCACCACGTCCCAATCCCCACATCCTCTGACGAAATCACCTTCCTAATGGCACAGAGCTTCGTAACCTCCAACAAGGCCGATACTGCCCCGCGCCACTACAACCTGCGCGTAGCAGAGTGCACTCTCGCCGCCGTGATTCTCGCCAAGCACCACGGCGTGACACTCCCCAAGGACAACAGCTCCCTTGGCTACAGCCTGCGCAATTTCCACAACGAGCTAATGACCAAAGAAGGCCGTCTCCAAGATCCACTGGAGTACCAAATCGACTCTGTGATCCAAGCGACGATGGACCTGCTCACACAAGAAGAGGGGTACACGCGCGAGGAGATGGCGCAATTGCTGAGCATCACCGTAGCCGAGCTAGAGTCGAGCTTCCTCTCCGCATTCCCCGTGCAAGCGGAGCGATTCCAGCTCCGCCAGCGCGCACTGCACTGCTTCAAGGAGGCGCGCCGCGTGCTCGATTTCAAGGCTTGTCTCAGCAAGGCTACGCAGCTGGACGAGAGGCGCATTCACTATCTCGGTCAGTTGCTTAATGAGTCGCAGGAATCGTGTGCTACGGCATATGACTGCAGTGCGCCGGAGGTCGATGAGATCTGTGCTATTGCGCGTCGTGCGGGTACTTGGGGTAGTCGTTTGACTGGTGCTGGGTGGGGTGGTTGCACTGTTCACATGTTGCCTCAGGGTAAAGTGGAGGCTGTTACTGCTGCGCTGAGGGATGAGTACTATCTTAAGAAGTTCCCAGATATCAGTAAGGAGAAGTTGGAGCAGGCTATGGTTATTAGCAAGCCGTCCAATGGGTCGTTCTTGTATGTTGTTCCCTTCCTCGCTCATTTGATCGCTGGCACACCGGATGATGGCTAACATTTTTTGGTTATAGGGTTATGGGGGCTGCTATTGACCAGATCCCTCTTTGAATATTGCATAGCAGATCGAAACGAAGCCCACTTGAATAGGGTTATCGATTATGATGAGATCAAAGTATAAAATTATATTCATCTTTCATGCATTATTCAATAGATAGTACACATTGACGCCGCAAAAAGATGTGCCGGGTGGAAGAAAGATCTCCTGGGCACAAGTGTCTTTCTGCAATATGTGCCTTCCAAGGAATCGCGTAGATTCGTTGGGATGGTGGAACGAGGCGAGCCTTTCGACTCGACTCACTTGCGCTGGCTGTGCCTTTGGTGGCCCTGTCTGGGTAGGAGGCCTAGACCTCTAGAGCTATAGATAGAATCTTTCAACCATAGAACTTGCTGGTTGGATTCGTCCGAAGCCAGACAATAAATTACCTGCATAACATATGGCCATGTTATAGTTCAGTCGGTTGTGCCTTATAACTTCAAGTATTCTTCTTGGGTACAGCCTTGGCGAAGAAAGAGCTCAGTTTCTGCATCCCGCTCGTGTTGACCTTCTTCAGATTCTTGACTCCTTGGGATTCTGCAGCCTTTGACTTTTTCTCCTCCTCTTCCTTGCGACGTTTCTTTTCAGCCCGCATATCATCTTCTTCGTCATCAAGGGCTCGTTTCCGAGTGAAGTTGGACATGTCGCGTGATGCGAGAGCTTGAGCCCGAAGGTCTGCAATCTCCTTAAGGCGGTCTTTAAGCGGCTTGAAATCGATCGGGCTCTCTGCAGAAGCGAGGATCTCATCTAGTCTCGAGGCCAAGGTGGCGGGAAGATATGACTCCTTCATGAAAGATAGTGCAGTGGAAATTTGGAGGAGCCGAGTAATAGAATCCCTAGCTGTGGACTCTTCGCTCGGTGGCTGTGGCACGGGTGTCGATTCCCCTGCAGGTGTCGCAACAGATGGAGTCGCAGTTGTGCCCACAGTCGAGGGGGACTCCTGCCTCTCCTCTGATTTCGAGACCGATTCCTGGCTCTCATTTGACGGCTCCTGGCTAGTCGCAACATCTTCTCGTTTGACCGACATCAAGGGTATGGCGAGCGCCTGACGAATAAAACGTTCTTCCAGACTTACAGGAAGACCCCGATCCGCCATGCGTTCTGCCTTCGTGATCAACTCTTGAACAAGCTTCGTCTCATTGAACCGGAACATCTTCTCATCACCGGCCTCGACTACTTCACAGATAGCTTCCGCCCGCGCTAGGAGGCAGCCCCGGAATTCGTCATCATAAAGGACTTGGCGCATATTCTTGGGCATATCGTCTTGGGAATCGATTATATCGTCGAATGGTTGGAAAAGAGAACGGCCTGATTTCGAAGAAGGCGCTAACAATGGAACCATGAAAAACATCGCATCAATTGGGGTGGCCACCAGAAACTCTGCCTTCTTGGTGATTGAGCCCTGCACGGAGGGCTCCTCGAGGTCCTGTTTCTCTTCTTCCAACGAGCTTGGGGTATCGCGCGTGCGAGGGGTGAACAGGATACTGCGCGCCATATGCGCCGGGGGTGCAACGACCGTAAATTCGTATATACCGCGATCCGGGCAGAAGAAGTAGCGTGTTAGCTCTCCCGATTGGGGATCTGGCAGGGAGAGCAGGCGCGCATTGTCGCTGGTAGAGGATGGGAGGATGAACGTTTTGCTCGGTTTCTCTGCTGCAACGAGGGTTTTGGTCTTAGTATCGTCTTCAGACTTCTTCGATTTCGACACTGGGGCCGAGCGAGTCCTCATTGTGGGTGTGATACAGGTGGAAGTGAAGATGAAGACCAGAAGATCGAGGGTGGAAACGGAAGGGGCTAAAATGGCAAGGGCAACCGCGACGCGAACGCGCCTTCCCGACCCAATCAGCCCTGTGCGCGATCCGTCACTTTCCCTTTGCATTAGCGAGTTTCAACCCTTGTTATCGTGTTATTGTATCCCTGTGCTCTGTTCTCTGTGATCATTTTGACTATCCCCTTCTACATACTCTACATTCTGCATTCTACACTCCGCGCAAGGGCAAAGGGCATGGGCCGCAAATGACGTTCCATGGTATAGTCGGTCTCTGATTACGTCTGAATCCTCTCATTAATCGCCAGTAAGGTCCGTCCAATTGTTTATGCTGATCGGTCGCTAACTATTCTCCTCCGCCAAAGTGGTTGAACCTGCGTGGCCGCCCCAATCGCCCCGCGCGGCTCTCTTGAGTTCGCCGGCTGGACGACGAAAGTACCAAGAGATGCAACGCACTCGAGAGAATCTGAAATCACCATTAAAACGCTCAAATACCACACCTAATCTCCGATCAAAAGCCAGTCAAATTGTGGACGAAGATGATGGGGAAGAGGAGGATGAAGAAACCCTGCAGCTTCAGCTAGCCGAGATCAAAGCGCGTTTGAAGTTGAAGAAACTCCAGCAAAAGAATCGCGGAAGGTCTAGTTCGAACCTCGAGGATGACGATGTTCGACCAAATTCGGCAATCAGCGCTTTGCGAACAGAAGACCGCGGTGCGACACCACGAATCGCCAAGGGAGGGAGGCAAAGAACGAGCAGCGATGGAATTCAGGTTCCGGCATCACCTACCAGGCGAGAACTGCCTCCCGCTGACCCAACATCGCCTCGGAGGTATGTCATGGGAATTGATAAGGGCTGGAAGGCCAGTGATGTATCCTTGAAACGACCTCCAAGTTCAAGACCCGGGCCTCGACCGAGTAGTCATATGGGGTTTCGAGACGGTGCTACACCGCGCTCTAATGACATATTCAGCTCGCGGCCCCAAACTTCTCCTTCATCAACGGGAGGGATCAACCGAATAAAAAGTTTCAGCGAGAGAATGGCGGAAGGCAGGGCGGCCGAGAAATCTCGGCTGGAGAGAGCAGAAAGGGTCCAGGCTAACCGCAGTTCAGCTTTTCAAGTCGACAAGTCGGAGATCGATGCCTTCAAAGCTGCAGCTTCGGACACAAGGCCTTCATCCCCACCATCGTCATCACGAGAGCGCCCTGTGGAAAGCTTCAGCCGTGAGGATATTCTTCGATCTATGGGAGAATCCCGCCCATCCGGTCTACAACGCAGTAATACAACCCCGAATATTCGACGAACCGAGGGAATTGGCCACAACGAGAGACAATCTCATCTACATAGGCGAACTCATACGGCAGAAGAAGAACCAAGTTCTTCACACAAACTAGGTCAAACAGATGATGCTTTGATGAAGGCGCCGGATTCTTCAAAATTCGAGTCCTATTCATCGCTACATCTATCAAGCCGGGTTCTTCCGCATTCTTTCTTGAGCCGCACACTCGCAGGAAAGAGGGTTTTGCGCATCCCTGACCTACTTAAAACCGTTAAGGCACCAGCATTCGAGCTCCCAGAGGACATCGATGGGGACTTTGTGGTATTCGGCATTGTTGCGTCAAAGTCCGACCCCAGGGAAAAGAAAGCTACGGGGAACGCGTCGGCTCAAGAAAAGGACCCTTATGATGATGGACTTAACAACACCAACAGATATATGGCCATTACCCTGACCGACCTGAAATGGACTATTGACCTCTTCCTTTTTGACACTGCTTTCCCCCGTTATTACAAAATCTCGGAAGGGACTCTCGTCGCAATTCTGAACCCTACAATCATGCCCCCACCAAAGCACAAGCTGGACACAAACAGATTCAGCCTGTCATTGTCTTCATCAGATGACAAGGTGCTCGAAATTGGCAAGGCACGGGATATCGGGTTCTGCAAGGCTGTGAGAAAAGACGGAAAGACCTGCCAATCGTGGATAGATGGTCGAAAGACCGAGTTCTGTGACTTCCACGTTGATATCCAGATCCGACGCACTCAGGGCCAACGCTCGGGAGTCAATGCTGACACCGGTATGCTTGGTCTTGGTGGTAAATCCGGCTCGCGCACCGGATTGTTTGGGGAAGGAGTGAAGCGAGGAGGTGCTTTCAAGCACGGGCTGAAACACGATGGTCCTAAGTATGACATGGGATCTCAATCGCTCTATTACGTGGCGCCTTCCAGAAACCGCGGTGGTGGTCTTTCGTCCTACAACCCCATGGGAGGCTCGGCGGCAAACCTGATTGATGCGCATGACGACCCCTTCATCGCCTCAGGTATGATGGGCCGCGGTATGGACAGCAAGGAGGAACGAATGCGCAGACGTCTCGCGACCCAACAGCGGGAGCGTGACATCACCCAAAAGCTAGTTTCTGGCCGTGTCGGTGGTGTGGGTGCCGAGTACCTTCGCACAAGGACTAGCAACGAGAGCCCAAACAAGGACAAAGCATCAGGCACCCCCTTGCCCAAGAGCCCCACGACAACCCACGGTATGGATATGACCACCTTCGGCAAAGCCAAGAACGTCCGTTTAAGCCCAATGAAGCGTGCTCATGACAAGCCTCACGGTAGCGGAGTTAAGAAAACGCGGTTCATCACTTCAAGGGGTATCAGGGAGGCTGGCCGGGAGAGCCTGGGTGCGCCAGCTGAGGCCACACCGAGTGGGAAACAGGCACTCTTGGATGATGACGACGACGATGACCTAGAGTTCATTTGACGCACTCCAATATCTATATTTATCCTGGCACCACCTCAACCCTTGAGTCCCTCTTGAGGATAAGAATGCTCATAACGATGTAACGAATACAAAGCATGTCCTGGTTGCATTGGGCGGCTTGGTTTTTTGTTGGGTTTGTCGAGAAGTAGATACAACAACCCCTGTCATGAATCGATGTAATGATTAATGTATTTTTACCTCAATTAGAAGGCTCATGGAACGTTTTTCTCTCCTTGTCTACATGTGCTAATAGCATTAGTGATTAGCGCAGCTACTGCCGAACTTTGGAAAGCTTGTTTTGACTACATCAACTAGCAGCGGGGATACAAACATACTTCCCCAGCAGACAAGCGAGCTTTTGTACAAATTTAATACCAGCTACAGGGAAAAATTATCCAAAATATTCTGAATTTCTATTGAGCTGTTCCGCTTAACCATGATTCCTCCCGTGACGATCGCTTCCCGCGATTAATAAAACAAAAGAACACGCTGGTACCAAAATCAAAACCAAAAGAAAGAAACAATTTGGAAGAGCGCGGATGAAATGACAAGGGGAAACGCCGCTATTCAAGCCGAAGATGTTTTCATGAGGTATCCTTAGTATTCGCGATTCACAAACCCATGCGCGCCATTGGAACAAAACACAAGAAAAAAAAAAAAAAAGAGAAAGACCAGCGGCCTGCGCAATTACAAGATAGCCGTCGTGGGGAGAAACAAGGGCATTAGGAGAACATCTGAAAGAAGAAGAAGGCGCCGATAAAACAGATGTGCCCAGGCGCAACAAACAAAAGGTTGATCCCCTCAGCGCCAGGTCCGGCACAACGCACAAACGAAGGGTCAAAATTTTCAAAGCGCTGGAATAATGCGAAGTCGAGGTGAGAAAATGTGCTGCTTGAGTGAGATCTAGGAATCAGATGTAGACGGCTTAGCGGTCGAAGCCTCTCCAGAAGCTTCTGCGCGCATAGCCTGTCGGGTGCGTGTGGCAGGGCTACCGCGGGCCTGGCGGAGGCGCTTCACACGGTCGGTAGGAGCCTCAACTTCCCGCGTCTTCCTGCTGACAGACGGCCAGTACTTCAGGAGGCTGCTACCACTGCTGACAGAGAGGCCTCGGGACCGAGTCTGGTCATCGGTAGAAGCGCTGAGACCAAGGTCCTCAGAGAATGAAGCGGGCTGGAAAGGAGACACATCGCCTATAGCAGAGCGAGGGAAACGGAGGCCAGAACGTCCAACAGGGGCAGGGCGAACGACAGATGAGTCCTCGGACTCAAAGGAAGGGGTGGCTGGATCTGGCAAGATGGGAGGAGTCAGACGTGTCTCGTCTTCGTAAGCCGGAGTTGGAGACATTGGCTCGTGATCCTCGACATCGGTAACATCCTCCTCATCACCATCGGTAGGCTGAATGGGGGTAGAAAAGAGGAGACGAGGTTTGATTTCACCACGTTTCAAAGGCTTCACGCTCTTGAGAATATCAGGGTTATCGGCCAGCAGGTCGGGGCGGTTAGCGAAAAGACCAAGGTCATCTTCATCCTCAGCCTCATCTTCCATGTCATCAAAGCGCTTGAATATTTTCTTTCCACGGCTAATACACAAGTTAGAATGTGTGAGTATGACGGCTAAGTGAGGTTTGACTTACTGGACATAATAAGCTCCATCTTTGTGGGTGGTGGTTGAGCGAGTCGTAGGTCGTCCGACCGCTCTTGCAGCCTTGGAAATGAACGAATCAGTCGAGAGCGGACCGACCACAGGGATGCGATCACGTGAATCCTCATGAATAGGGATGCCCAATTCTTGCTCTGCAGCTTCAATAGTGTACCCAATTAAAGGCTCGTCGACGAAAATTGCTGGGGGTTCTGCGGCAGAGTGTTTGGGAGCATCCATTTTTCTGCGTTTGGGCGTGGAAGTGGAAGGAAACAGAGAACGAGATGTAGAAGGATCGGAATTGATTACCTTCTTCGAAGGAGTTTTAGCTGGGGTAGGTAAAGCCTGTTCTGCAGAGGATCGGGAGGTGTGTGCAGAGGTGCGGGGAAGTCCAAGTTCCGACTCAAAGGGAGAAAATCGGGAGGCAGCAGTTCTGTGGGAGCGTGCAACCTTTTTGGGTGAGGGTTTGGCGGTGCCAGGCGAAGAGGGCGAAAGAGTTCTTTTAGATGCTCCAGGTTTGGCAGATGCGCTTGGGTGACTTGGGGGTGGCGTGGTTTGGACAACCCTTGGCACTCGTTGACCTGCAAGTCTCGCGGAGTAGCGTGTAGGGTAAGGTTCATAGTTGTCGTGCTTTGCCCCATGTCGCGGCGCCCTGGGTACGCGAAGCTCAGACGGCGATGGAGGCGGTGGTGTTGACGCCATGTTGACTTGAATCACGATTGAACAACCGCTCGATACTTTGCAATCGTTTGAGGGAAAATGTAAATAGTATACTAGTTACACTTTATTCCTGGGCTTTTTCTGAATTTCACGATCTTGATCAAGTGTCGAGGAGTGTTGGTTCATCAAGGGCGTACCACGTCCAGCTTGTCAGATGTCCGGCTAAAATCAGGGCAGGAATCGGAGATATGAAAGCCCAAAAAAAGGTATTAAACATGAGCCTGCAGATATCCAATTGTCCGAGGCGACCAGAACAAAATAACGATAAGATGGGGATGAAAGAAGGGCGAAGTTGTTGTGAAGGCCGATTGTCGCCCAGCCACCGGGTATCCTCACCGCCCGATAATTGCGGTGGCTGAAAACCCCGCGTCAACAATGTGGATTTCCCATCTCGATCTACCCCAATTGCCTGTTAGATTGTCTTACAACCGTCGATCCTCTCGCTCACCAGCTATCAATTAACCTTCAAACACTTCATACGGGCAATCGGCCTAGGACTAAACCTATTCGGGTGTTCAGCCCATCAAGATTGCTTGTACATACTTCGGCTCCTACTCTGCGCAAATTCAACACCATGACTTTCCGCACCACAGCAGAAGAAATGGAGAGGCTCCAACTATCCGACGATGACGCAGAGGGACTCTGGAACTCGCCATCTAAGAGAGTGGTCCACAAGAAGATCAATCCAAGAACCTCCGACGAGAAAACTACCCCAGAACCTCGAGCATCCCATGATGGCGAGGATCCTCTATTTGATCAGCAGGAGGCCCGAGAGGCTGCCCTCCGGACAGAATTACAAGGTGTGCGGAATATCAACGAAGTGATAGAAGGGCTTCTAGGAAGTTTGGACTCCGCCAAAGGAAACATGGAGGTAATATGCGTTTCCAATAGTGCATGGTCAATACCCCGGCTAATCATCCGTATAGACGGTCTCACAAACTGTTACCTCGGCATCGACACTCCTAAACACGTGGACTCGCGTTCTCTCCCAAACCGAGCATAACCAGCGATTGATCCTCAACCCCAACTGGCAGGGAGCTACTCAGGATGTGATCGATATCGAGAACCAAGCGATTCAAAGACAGCAAGCGGCAGAAAGACGTGAACAAGCGCTTCAGCAACAAAGGGAAGCAGCAGCGCGGAAAGCCGAGGAAATCGAAAAGCGACGCGCACAGGTTACTCGAGGTACTCGAGGCACCCGCGGAACTACGAGGGGTACAGTTCGAACCACTGGCTTAGGAAGAACACCCAGTGTCAGTACAACCCGCACGGCAACACGTGGTTCTACGACAACAAGCCAACGGCCAGTTAGCGGGATAGCACGAGGGAGTGGGATTTCTCGCGGTCGGGGAAAGGTCTAGATGGACTGAACTAGTTTATGTACAATAAATCTTTAAGTATTATGATAAAGCAGAATGATATGATACCCTCTAATGTATTGTCGCCTGAGGCATCATATGGGCAGTTACACGCGTCGCGATCTGATAACGATAAGGAGATTACTCCAAATCATTCATTCCCCTGATCCACGAGGATCATTCCGTCATTCACCTTTCCAGGTACGACAACACAATGAACTTCGCACCCTATCAAGATCAATCACCGGAGATTGAGCGTGTTTTATCGCCTCCCCACCCAGACGGTCGCCGAGTATCCCCAATTCTCCGTTCACCGCGAGCCTCGGCCGACCTACCCTCCCCCAGTCGCTTTGCTAGCGGTGGACATGGCAACATAGGATTCGGGCGAGACATTGAGGGTGGCCATGTGAGCTTAGGGGCTTTTGAAACAAGTCTTCCCATCCGCATGGATATCGAAGCAGCGCTAGCGTATCTGCTTCTGCCTCCTGCGGGGGGTGTATTCCTGCTACTAGCTGAACACAAGAGTGACTATGTGCGGTATGTGATGGGGTTTGGGATACTGTAGGGTTAATTTGGATCTCAGTCTGCTGACTATTTACTGCAGATTTCATGCTTGGCAATCGAGCATGTTATTTGCTGCCATGTTTGTGAGTAACCCAGTCTTTCGTAATGTTGCATAAGCTCACATGCCAAACATAGATCATCCACATACTGTTCTGCTGGTCGAGCTTTCTCTCCTGGACATTGTTAATTATCGATATTGCTTTAATCGGCTTCCTCAGCATGCATGCTTACCGAGATGGTGAGTCTTCCAAGGTTTCTCTATGGGAGCTGTTCGATGGCAGGAAAGATGGATCTGGTACTAACCACATCATCTCTAGTTGATACTTTGGACCATTTTGAAGTCCCTTTCTTTGGCCACCTGGCTAACTCCTTTGTTGATGATGAATGAGTATCAACTATTGTCTTTCTTTGAGAATTGTATCTGCTTGAATTATTACTGCGAGGAAGCATGTCTTTTCTTCATATACCCCTGTCTGTCAATACTTGCTGGTTTCTTTCTTTTAATTGCAGGACAGGCTATGCGTGGATGAATAATTCTCGTTCAGCTTATTCTAGGTTTGTAAATTTTAGAATTTCTAAGACCTCAATCCTTTCATTCAGCCAGAGCCAATATCTCCAACAATCCAATAGTAGCGAACTAAATTGCAAGGTTCTTCATGAATATAGTAATGGCATTACCCATAGGCAATTACCTCAAAGCAACCCATCATCTCAATAGATATTGGGTACCAGTTGTCCCGCTCCAGATAGCCATAGAGCCATTGCTTCCCCTGAGATTTGTGTGCCGAAACCAATGTATATTGATTATAACGAGGAACGGGTGTTGGAGTTGTAGTGGCATCGGTCGATTTAGGGGGAGGGGCCATGTACTGCAGCCTTACATTGGAAGTACTGTGCGGGTCTGTAGGATAATGGCGTGTTAATTTTCATATCATAACATCCTGTTCGTTTGAAAGGTTAGCATAGGTCTCACCATAGCCTTGTGTTCTGGCTTTTTTTAACTTCATTGTGTTGAAAAGGGATTTTGGTTTCAACCTTGTTAAGCTGAGAGGTGCTTTTGTTTGGGTGTAGGTGATCTTGATCCAGCAGCCGACTATATTAAAAATGCCATTGCTAGTAGTATGACAGTATATTCAGCTGTATACCATAATAATAGATTGCCGGCTTCTAAGGGTGGCATTAAACAACCTGCGTATGGAAGAACTGTATATTCTCAATAAAAGAACACATAAATAATGACCAAATACTATCACTCAGAAAAATCAATACAATTTGGTCATCTCATCCAGTTGTGGTTTCAAAATCTTCTATTAGCAAAAACTGCGTGGAATCTGGAATATCGAACATTTCATCGGTAGTTGGTTGATGGTGGCTCCTGGTGATAGTTACCAACCTGCCCAGAACAGCAAACTCAAGCTTCAACTTCACGTTGTAGAGAAAGCATTTAAGAACGAGCTGAACAAAATAATGGCCCCGGTATTCAGTAACCAGAAGTGGTATATTCATCAGAATGACAATGAGGTTCAGCACCAAAAGCTTGTATATAAGACGCCTTCGACGATTGTGTCGGTTGGCACCGCTCCGCACTGAACCCACAACCACTTTATCTTCACCCTCTGACACATTCTTCAAGACCCCAGAGTCTGCTAAACCAACTCATTCTTAAGGCAGTCCTGCATTTCCCCGAGACATCCAACCCGCCTCGGTGATTGCCTATTGCGCAGATCCTTTGCCTGCGAACATCGTTAGCCAGTATGGAAATGGTGCTATCAAGATATCCGATCATCGATTGGTAACATGGGGCCCAGGTGTAACGAAAGAAGAAGCCGAAAATCAACGGATAGCCTATGGACTTTGAGATAGTCGCATAGTCCGGACTCCAGTGTCTATGCTTTCTTTTCTGATGAGAAGGGCTATGGCTATATTGTGATGGAGCTTGTGGAAAGAAAAATCATCGATCCATTAGAGGAAAAGGCCACTATCCAAAAAGGAGCAGGCGTGCTTAATTACTTTACCACACTACGGCACATCTCTCCTGGTCCCCTAAGTGGAGGAGCTTGTAGAAGCCTCCTTTTCCCAGAAACGGAAGACCTAGTATTTAATAATTCTCCAGAGATGGAAAACTGGTTCAACAGCCGGTTGTTCCCCCACAATCCAAAACCTATACTCTAGGGCTATGAGCTCGTCCTCTGTCAATTAGATATAGCGCTTCGAAAAATCTTATGGGAGGAAGATGGGTCACTTTGCCTTCTTGATTGGGCATCTGTCGGCTACTATCCAAGATTGTTCGAATTCTGCATGCAGTGGATCATTGAAGGAAAAGACGGTAGCTTCAACTCTCTTCTCTTGGAATACCTACTTCCAGCCGATCCAAAAGGTCTGAATGCCTCACCTCAAAAACACCCACTTCTGTCGCTCCTCCGAACGTAGCTTTAGGAGCCGAATAACAAAATTCAGTCAACGATCTCCTTGCACGCTATTTGCTCTATTCACGCGCAATATTTTCATTCGTGGTAAACCAGCCGAAGCTGCCTGCGGACATTTAAGAAATCAAATGTCTTTTCATCGCATGTACCTTTGAGGTTGCCAAAAACGAAGTCAATAATCTTATATAGTACTTCCGGAAATTATTGTGACCACCTACTATGCCTACTATGTATAATCCTTAATGTTAAGCTACACCCGGATTTCCAGTACTTATTTCCTAGTCAAAGATAATCACTAGCGTATTTTTCATGCTGTTTCCAAAATTAAGCTAGATGAGTTAACTTTCTACTGCATATGAGTTTTCATATCTATAGAGCTATCGCAGTAGTATCACATTCGACATAACACCGAAATAGAAATCCCAAGTCAAGCAATATTCAGGCAATGAACCACTGTCTTTAGTCCATTCATATTTATTTTCCTCCAACCAAGTTCTCTTATGGTTTGTAGACAGGCAAGGGCTCCTCTGGAGACGCGGAGATTTGATAGGCTGGCGGGCTTTGGCTATCAGATCTCATATATTGCATCCTGATAGGTCTCGCATTTGTTGTCCTGATATATCCCATCTGGATGGGCACTGTACCAACGCGATGATACTTAGTGACTCGGAAATACTTAAATTGGGTGGATCTCTCCCTTACCAGGCATAGTTTGCTGTTCGTGAGGCGCTGCTTTTCGAAAAATCAAGCGATCTAATACTTTGAATGCACTCTTCATTAGAGATACAGGTGCACAAATAATGCTGGATGTCAGGGGCGGGTTAGCATCTCTCTTCGATGGGAACTGGTAGATTTGATGACTTACGAACAAAGATCCTCGCAAATATCAAATTTTCTGAAAAAGTAGACTATCCCCACAATGAAAGCAAGGCCGACAAGGATCAAAAGAGGACTGGCTGCCACCAACCACCATACATCAATATAATTTGAGGAATCATCTGAACGAGTACGCAAAGCAGCGCCCCCAGTCACGCGAGGAATAAATGACATTCTTGACAGGCTCATTTTTCTTTTTAGAATTGCGATGAAAATAGGTAGAAAATGTGTGATACATCAGCGAGAGTAGTCGTAATTATCTTTGGTCTCCGCCACCCGAAAGGGTTCGGAGGTACATAGTACATCCTCTAGAAATAGACTTTGAAGTTCGGATCGACCAAGAATTCGACATCTACTTCTCGGTATTAAAGAAAACAACTTGCACGGTGATATCATCCCGTATCCGTCGAGAGAAAGGAGGGCCAAAGGCAAGCCGGCCTGCTATCAACTCGTGGTGGTTTCCACCAAGGGAGTTTCGCATCAGATGTACTGCAGCATTACCATCTTGTGTTGTTGTTCTCTCTTCCTCAAACTTCCAGTTCACATCTTTCCAGAATCTGCCAAAGTCAAATTCTCCATCTGTTCGCACTGGTGTGCTCTTTTTCTCTCCAGTCCCTTGTGGTTCCAACCAGTTCCCCACCAAGTCAACACCCTGTTCACTGGAGAGATAGTCCCACAGCCCATCCGTTGCCATAATCAAGAACGAGGGTTTGTTAGGATCGATCTTAGTGCTTGTCACGACTGGCTCGGCAGTCAAGTACGGGGGTGTGCGAACATCGTACCGAGGTATTAGGGGTGCTGGACCATTGAATTTCCGCTTCATTTCCTTCTGGAAATCCACAGGCCACTTCCACAGACTGTCACCAAAGGCTCGTGAGACCATGAGCCCAAGCACCCGTCCACCTTTGGCTATGCTTTCCTCACCAGGGTGTTCCTTCGAAATTCGGGTGACCTCTGCTTCGTTGCTGCCAGTTTGGTCTACTGACAAGGGAATTGCTTCCCACTTTCCGTCTGACCCTTTTTGTCCCAAAACCGCTCTTGAGTCCCCAGTACATGCAACGTGCAGCGTGCTTGTGGAAGGATCGTACAGAGATAACAAAGCGCATGAACCGGCGTAAGCAGGAGCCAGTTTCATAACCTTGTCTTGGAATGCTTCGTTGGTCTCAGCTGTCTCTGGTGCAGTCTTGATGATGGAGTCGTCAAGATCCACAAATCCTTCCATGATAGCGCGCTGGATTGACTCATTTGGCACCGGTTCGTCATTTGAAGATGGTTTAGCTTCGGTCAACCTGCGTCCCACGAAAGGCAGGAGTTGCTTCGTCAGCAGGTCCGCTGTCTGCCAGCCTGAATGTCCATCAAAAACAGCCCAGGACATCCATTGATCATTTTCATTCCACGACAAGGAAACTTTGCCATGAATAAAACGGTCCTCGCAGGGGCTATTGGAAGCCAATTGAGCGCCGTCGTATCTGTTGACGCCCGCAATATTTTTGACCTGGAAGGAGTATGCTTCTTTCGATAAGATATGTGTGACATCCTCTTTAGAGGGGCCCCGCTCAGGGGCCAAGTGCTCCGCTGGACTTTCGAGGCGGGGCACATCATCCCTTGTAGTGGTCAACCACCACAGGCCGGGCATGCTGATCAAACCGGCAGTCGCAATGTAAACTTTTGAATTTGAAGACAAGCCCTTCATTGAGAAGGAACGTTTGGTATGTGTGCGTACGATGGAGGTGGTCGCGCGCCCTAGACGCGGTCGCACGAGACATGATAACATGGTGCCTCGAAGCTGAGAAGTAGGAGACACTAGAGAACATTGAAGTTAATTAAATATTACCCCAGGTTTTGTTAAGGCGGTCAGATCACGAGGCTCCTTGGAACTCGGACAACCTTGGAAAGGGGTAAGCAGAATACTCCAGACTTGGGCAGCCCTGTATGAAATAATTAGTCACAAGCCCCTCAGCCTTTATTTGCTGAGACAAATATGGAATTAGGTTAGAAAGCATGAGTGCTGCGATTTTTCTAAAAAAAAAATTGAAGAGTATACATCAGTTGAAAATAGTGCGGGACTTTGAGGATATATTTTTAGATATTCTTCGATGTATTTTTAGTGTATACGAAGGCGGTAAAAAAAAAGCATACTCTGTGTCTCTATGCATGAGACTTTTCTATGTATGACTTTCGAAAAAGGCACTAGTACTGAGATAATCGATTTGTAAAGCCCCCAAAAAAAGAAAAAGATATACACACTATACAGAATGCGAGTTCTGTCGCATGTATCGTAACGTAGTACTCGTTATAAGAGCCTTACTTTATCCTTCTATTTATATGAATAGACCATAAAGAAATCCATAAGGAAATCCATTGGTACATCCTCTTGACACCCGCTGACTGGTGTCGACATGTGATTTACCAGCAGGATAGACCGTTGGGGGCGTCCCTCCACCATATCTAGAAGTCACGATCAGTTGTGCTTAAACAAGTCTGGACAGCGTCGAGGTCACGAAATAAACGGAGCGGTATTGTACCTGATGTTAAGCACATGATTGACCCCATTCTGGCTTATAAAGTTGTCGATGTACACAATCAAAGAGTCTCGGAACGACTGAACTTAAAGGTCGCTGCTAATATGCTTGTAATATTCAAGCAATCGACCAGTATATAATGGAGACAGACCTCACTTTAGATCACTAAGGATAAATGAAAAGAACCCTAGGAGTAGTATGGCGATGGTCAATTGCCGGGTTCGCAGAATATCTACTGTTATTATAATTAATCTAGGAGGATGGCCTGCCAGCTGGATATAGAATCAATAACAAATGTAGCAGCGTAACTGCGTTTGATAAATCCTGGTACCGAGTATCAAAGCCTGAGATGGTCATATACCAAAATTGTTTGTGTCTACGCTCTCCACTGTAAATTTGTAGCTAGGCTTTAAGGAGTTTTACCTTTAATCTAATCGAAACTTCGAAGGATCCTGTGCTCTGACCAGTAGCGTTGCAAAGTAAAGTATATGAACCCCTGTCTATAATTGAGGGGGTTAAATGAAGAGGTAATTGCATACCCAGTTTCACTAATGGTGCCAACTACCGCCCACAATTGAAGTTACTGCCGTGGATAAGGAGATTGAGGATCTCGATATCCGGAAAATGTGGTATGACCTCCGCGAGGAGATAGAGGGAATAGGTTTGCATTTAGAATGTTTAGTCATCTAACGGCTGGTTATGATGTTTGTTAATATTCTTACTTATGGTACGTTAGCTCTAGCTCTAGCAGTATATAATACTAATAGAACAAGTTGCACGGCTATGGCCTAGGATTTGTTCCTCTCTAACTTTTCCTACGATCCATACAACAAGAATACTTAGCACAAGTACCACCGAGGAATTCTAGAGTATAGTAGAAGAGAGCAGAACCTACTAGGAATACTAGAGCGCTTTCTAGGATAACCCCCGAAAATGAATGTCCTTGTGGAGGGCATAGTACGGGCAGAAAGCCAGCGCTAGTTTCAAAGAGGAGCGATTGATTTGTTGGAATTACATTTCTCCAAGTGGCTGTGATCTGACACAGTTACCCAGGTACTCACAAGGCGAGCGCATTTGATCCTAGACGGCCAATCAAAGACATTCTACGAGCGAGGTGCTTCCAACACTAAGCAGGAAAACGGTCACTTGTCGGAAGGGTAGGATGGACTTCTGAAAAAAGGAAAATAAAAAATATCACTCGGTATCACGGCTCAGAAATGTTACTATAATCATAGGTTCCTCGGCCCACTAGCTTCCCATATAGCTATACTCTGAAGGAAGTGGGTTAGAGAGTAATCTTGATTTAGCGCAGTCTGCAAAATATCAGAAAATCAGTGCGAGTTTGTCTAAGGCATATACCACTAGGGCAATCAGAAATAAATGCGGTACACCGCCGGAAAAATGTAGATTACGGAGCACAATAAATTAGGGGAGAGGCTTAAGGTTCTAAAAGTGGCTGTGGTACCATCGAAACGTACCCGCACTATAAAAAGCTAAATTGAACTCTATCACAACTAGTCTAATGGCATCTAGGTATTGTCACCTAATAGTGATTCGCAGCAAATTTAATGGGTCAGATATCCTCATCACTGTACGTATGCCCATATATGTACATTCTCTGGCTCTCATGTTTAAGAGTCGAAGATTGGTCCAAAGGCAAGCAATCCACTCTCCTTGAGCTCAAAGACCACTTGTTTCGTGAGCGGCGGATTGCTGATCACACACACAGCCTCCGCATCAATTTCTCGCGCGAGCTCTTGAATAATTGGCACCATGTCCACTCGGCCGCTGGTGGTGGTGTCAATGAGAAGTGGGTTTGGGTCGAGCTGATGCACAAGGCTAAGGACATCCGGGCCGTATGTCTTATTCGGATCCCGCGTCTGCCAGAGGATTCGCAACTGTGGGCGATGCTTCTCGCTCAAAAATGAGATACAGGGCCCCATTCCCGATCCGGTGGCAACCACTACCACTCGGCGAAAAACCCGCATTACGTGGATAAAGCCGTACATGAGCACTCCCCTCTTCCAAAGCTGGGTTGGTTTCTGGTCGATACACCGGGTTGTCCAATCGCCTGCCTTAGATACTATGCAGGAAAAGCTCGTACCATCGGGATTAGGGAAAGTTGCGAAGCTGTGCCAATCCTTGAGCGGATGGTTGGAAAGTGCTAAGACTTTACCGAATGCTGTAGATGTGTGATCAAACTGGAGTCGGACAGCATGTGATGAGAGATGCTCTGGCAAAACTTGCACCCGGCGGAGAAGGAGCCACGGATGGACAATGGAGGCAATGATGACCAGGACGAACCAAAACGCTGGAAGCTTAATCAGGTATTGCCCGAGAGATAATCCTTGCGAATGTCGGGCTTGATCTGAGAAGACCAGCAGGAGGGTTAAGAACAGAGCTACTGCTAACCAACCGCCGAATCGGTGTATGAGCTCGAAATAGTTATGTATTTTTGCCCGGAAGGTAGGGTACGCAACCGCAATGATGGTAATGAGGTCAACGAGTAAAACATAGGATATAACAACCACCGGGGCGGTAATCGTCCCCGAGTCTCCGTTCAACCAATATTCCTTTGATATCAGACCCACGAGGCCGGTATACCATAAAAGGGCTGCCACACCACATCCGCTGTGGACTCCACCATACTGATATGCTTCAGCGGCCCTCCTGCGCAACGCGAGAGGAGCCGACTGCGGAATGCGGCATATGCTCCGGAAGATGGCATTCACTACTAGCGGATGTCGAGCAAGACCGCATACTAGCAAGTTGATGCCCGCTGCGTTGACGAATGCAAGGAGATTCTGTTGGCTCCTTATCATGATAATAATGAATGCGATCGCATTGGCACAATAAATCAACGAAAATAGGCGGCGATAGATTGTGAGAATGAGATATCGGATTGAGGAAAAGCTCATTCGTGGCCTACGTTGAGCCTCAACATCGACTTTGGCAGAATACCTCTTCCAGTCCCAGGTACTATCCATGCTCAGATATGTATTGACTGATGCCACAAAACTCGGCTTGCTTGCATGTACGGGAGATGGTCTTTGGGGCGGGGATGCCATTCTGTAGGAGTATCGTGTCACAATTAAGGACACCAGCACACGCGGAAACGATGTTAATGTGTTTGGACCAGTAGATGGAGGGGTTAAAAGGATAGGATTGTACAACGAGCTTGGTCATTTCTTATTCTATGTAATATCGTATGGTGTGTGTGTGTGTGTGTGTGTGTGTGTGTGTGTGTCGGAGAGGCTCGCGGACGCCCGACAAGGTTGATTGCCATCAACCCATCACAGACCGTCTCTGCCCCATAATGGTACATAAATGTAACATTACAAGATAACCACGTTGTTCGGAGTATTACTTCGTGGGTCTCCTAACCACTTCCACCTAGCACCGCAGCACCCGAAGTACGTGGGGCGCTTCGATAACGTCTTTGGTACTTTATTTGCGCAGCAACATCACTTGTGATGAGGTGTCATTGTACCTCACACTATCAAGTTAGTTATATTCTATAATTTTATTCCCTATGGTAATAATCAGAGTACCGTTGGAGCTTTGGCTTGAAGATTGACGACTGGAGAATCGGGGGACTCACTTCACGGTCGTACGGAACGCCTAGGCACCAAACCGATGCTTTGTTTAATCCATGTGCGCTCTCAAACTTTAGAAGGATCCAACCAGTTTAAAATTAACTGGGCCTAGCCAAGTGCTCGTGCTCGTGGTCGATGAATGGTATGAGTTTTCATTGCTAATACAGGCGAAGCCACGGACAGAGCGACCCCTGTGCCGTATCTTCCCGTTGGCGAAAATTCGACACCCCCTAGTTCCTAGTTACAGGTACCTAGGCTGTACTGTGTCTTCGGGGAGGATTTGAGGGACAAGCCCTGGCATTGGGAAGATTGGCGAGTTTGCAACGCATCAGTTGTTACTCACAACTTCCTCTGGACAAGTTATGCGTGATGAGGTACGGAGTGCCTATATATATCTATATGCATCGATGGGTAGGGATATTATGTATGTTTTATGAGCAATATTATCGGCCAGGCCGAGTATTCTCGCATGCGCAGCAAGGTCCTTCCAATTGGTTAGGGCTGTGGGTTCCCGACATCGGGCCGTCGGGATTGGCACGGGATTGGCACACGGACTTACGCTACTTCTATACTAATCACCCAGGTGCATAGAAGTGATGCATCCAGTTTCAGGTTATTTCAGGGGTCAGGACCTTGGGGGCAAGGCCGTTGGGCTATTCTCCGGATCCCCGTAGGAGTACCGAAGCCATCTTTCCCTGTACCCGTCGTTGGACCGAAAATATCATCCTCAATCCCTGTCATTCCTTTTTGACCCGGCCCATTTGACCCGTTTCTCAAAGCTGCTAAGCACGGCGATCAGTGCCTTTTGGATGGTTATATCGGGTCTCTAAAACAATCAAACATGGCTTTCACCCGCCCCGGGGGGAACGACGGTGGCGCGGCTATCTTCGACTCTTTGGCCAAACTCTATGTAGCGGTGGCCATCACTTGGACCGCTGCTCTCCTTACCGGCTCCGTCTTCCTTATTGTCAATCGTCATGAGCAATGCATTCGCATCCGCAACTTGCGTCTCGTGTTGAGCGCGGTGTTATGTCTCCATGTGTTCTGGATTTTGTGCATGGTTGCATATTCGATGGGTGGCAAATATCCTTGTGCCGCAGAATACTGGGTCATGAACATTTATTTCCCCTTGGGAATCGCTCTTTTCCAAGCAAACAGTATGCAGCTTCTGAACGTCTTTGGCGTTCAGGAGAAGCTGCTTTTGACCGCGCGCCAACCGTACAGACCCCACTTTATCGATCCTGCGGAACCGTCTAGGCGGTATCTAGCTCGATGGAGACAACTAAACCTCGTACAGCGAACGGAATTGGGCATCGCGGTTGGGATTTCGGTTCAAGTCAGTGCATTCTACGCGCCCGCTCCCTGGTGCTCCCCACTCATCTCTTCTCGCGTCTATAGCTACTCGTATCGCTTTCTATCTTCCTCACATCCCGAAAGTTTCATAGCTTTGGAACCTTCTCCGAACATGTGAGCGCCGCGGAATGTCGGCGAGGCCCTGAATGGTAAGATATCTGCTTAGAATGGTAATATGGTCGGCTTTTTTCTGATACGAAATCTTCAAGGATTCCTTCAATTCTCTGGCAGTTGCTCTGGTCCTGGGTATTTGCGCCATACGTTCTATGGCGGATTCGCAACATCCATGACATCCATCACTGGCGGCTTCAGATTACTTGCTGTCTTATCGCCGCGTGAGCACTTACACATTTTCCATGGCATCGCCATCCGATCACCTAATAAATGATGCTGACAGATCTGTAGTTTACCAGGTTCACCCATGTGGTTCGCAGCGCTATATTCGACAACCGATATCTGGGCAGTCATCAACAGATACTGGGTGCCAGCTCTTTGGTAATGAAGGCCCATAATCAAATCCAGATGAACTCAGATGATAACCATCGCAGGTTTGCTCCCGGCATTGTGGCAATGGAGGCCGTTACCATCTTCTTTCCGTGTTATGAGCTTGTCGTCTCCAGGGGGCAGAGGGATCGCTTTTTGGGGGAACTCCAAGCATGGAATGAAAAGAAAACAGCCAGCGGAGAAGGATCCGGCTCAGCACCATCACGAACTCCGAGTGAAGTCAGCCGCGTGCCTGAAATTTATTCCCGAGGAGCTCTAGAGAGATGCTTAGAAGAAAACTCCAGTGCTCTTCTCCGATTTGCCGCGGCCAAGGAATTCAGCGGTGAGAATATCCTCTTTCTGAATTACGTGCGCGACTGGAAAGCTGCATGGGCAAAGATCGGGGAATCAAGCCCGGAATACGATTGGAACTGCGATCCTCAGTATCACCGACTTCATTTCTTCAAGATCGCACTTGAGATCTACGCATTATGCGTGGATATGAACTTGGCACAATTTCCTATCAACGTTGAATCTCGAATTTATTCAGATTTACTGGAAATATTTGGCGAAGCTTGCGCCTACAGGAATCTTCCCGAATCTCACAACGCGATGGCAATGCACAGAAAGAAGTTGTCAACTGTGATAACTGTGGAGGAAGACACTCAAGCTCTGTGTTTCGATTCGTATCCTCAAGAGGAGCAGAGTATCATGCATATTGAGTCCCGTGTTCCGAATTCCGTTGTCGTTCCTACAAATTTCACAGCCGATGCATTTGAGGAGGCCGAGAAGTCTATCAAGAACCTGGTATTCACAAATACCTGGCCCAAGTTTATTGATTTTTCAAGCGATGTATCGATTGATTCTAAGTAACTATGCAAATTGTCTCAACAAAAAGCATGTATTTATAGGGCGAAGTACAATAAGTGGGGAGTTTACAACGCGTATTGCCTCGGCATTTCCACCAGAGGTCAATGGGTATAAAATATGAACAGAAACCAATACAATCTCTTACACCATTTTCACTATTTTTAATGCGTAATCCAAATATTCCACGTCCCCTTCGTAGGTATCTTGAAAAATCATCAGTAGGACGTGCCGTCGGCTAAACTGATATCCATATCCTACCTACATGTAGTTTAACTGCAAGAGTTAATCGTCAAGTATACACCGAGACTGTCTTCATAATGTAAGCTACTAGTGTCGTGATATGCGTACTGATTACGTACAATAGTATATATCGTGGAAAATAGAGAATCAATTAGAACAAAGCTATCGTATCCTCCGTAACAATTGAACGAACGTCCAATCATAGAGCAAAGCAAAGGATCGTTGACGGAGCAAAGAAGGGGGAATAAGAAAATAAAAAGACCATGAAATGCAGAGGTCTTCATGGCCCGAGATTGCTCATCATACAATTTCGTTCGAACAGATCTCTGTGGAGGGAAGGAGAAGACAGAAAGGAAGGAATTCAACAAATTCACACGAAGCACATGGTAAAAAGATCCCCAGAACACACACGCTAAATTTTCCAAAAACATCCGCAAGAACAGAATAATACGATTAAACAGGCTGTTCAGTGATTTCAAGACGGGACTGTACCACATGTGGCACCAAGTTGAGAATGAAAGAAAAATAGAAGTAGAGTCAGAAAAGAATCGTCAATGTGCAAATAAGTCGACGAAAGGCATAGTATCTACGTGAGAACATGAGGAAGGGCATCACCGTCAGGACAAACGTTCCGAGGGTCGTGGCTGGTCGTGAGATCAATCGGGTATTAGATGATTTGCAGATAGTTGCTTGGCACAAGACCAGGGTGGCCACGGGCGTTGGTGATTTCGGCTTCCCACCACCCGTCATCCTGCAGGCGGATAACGGAAAGGACATCGCCCTTGCCAAAGCTGAGCTCTTCAGGAATGGCGGCATTGTATGTGTACATGGAACGAGCTGTGAGATTGAAACCAAGTTAGATATTAACAACCCATTGTCGAAAGGAGAGATAAGTGCTTACCAAAGTGCAAGATTGGACGGCCATCACGGCTGAATTTGCGCCCAGGCTCTGCAACAGCCATAGTACGGCTCCGGGATCGGCCAATAGGCGGACCATCGCCATAAGTCGATGAGGGGCGGCTACTTCCTCGAGTTGAGCCGCCATATCCACCGGGACTGCTGGAACCATACATATCGTGGCTTCCAGACAACTGCAGCTCCATACCACCAGCACTCGAAGGGCGGGTTTGCTGCCTGAACTGTGGCTGCGGGGATACAGCACGGTGACTCATAGCGGGCGAGGCCCTGCGAGCAAAATCGTTTGGAGAGTAGGGTGGATCTTGAGTACGACGGGGAGTAGGCGATTGGCTGTATTGACTCCGCATGCTGTTAGACTGGTAACTACTCGGACTAGGGCTCGGGCCCCTGCCACTGTTCTGGCTCATGCGAGTATCTACACGGGGGGGAGCAACCTGGGGGCTGACGCTCCGTCTCGGTGCTGGTGCTGGCGATTTAGCTCGAGGAGTTTCTTGGGTTTGAGCGCTATGCCTTGACCCCATGCTGCTGCTATTTTGTCCTCGAAGCATGCTCTGGGTTTGACCAGTATACTTTTGAGTTGTCTTGTGCATTTGCTTAGCCGTGAAGGCCGGTTGAGGTGCGCCAAGTCGCTTGACTGTGGGATCATTGTATGCTGGTGGGGGAGCAGCAACGCTAACATTGCTGCCACCATATGTAGAAGACTGTGCCGACGGGGTAGGTGTTGGAATACCGTGATATCTATCTGCTGACACCCGACTGGCGGAGTGCTTCCCACTTGTCTTAAGGTCCGCTAGGGCCCGCGCGATAGGGTCCGAGTCATCTTCAGGTGCTTGGTTTGGCTGCGATCCTTTCTGGGGTGAGCTCTTTTCTGGGGATGCGACATCAAAGACATTATTCCCGACATTGAGCTGGAAGTTGGCTCGAGGATCGACAGGCTCCGGGCTACCTGAGGCACGACCCGGCGGGCCTGCTGAAGGCCTGACTGGGCTGACTGGGCTGACCGGGCTGACTTGTTTGGTTGGGCTAGCCTGCTTTGGTGGGCTGACTTGCTTGGGCGGGCTGATTTGCTTGGGCGGACTGACTGGCTTGGGCGGGCTCACTTGCTTAGGCGGACTGATGACTTGTTTAGGTGGGCTCACTTGCTTTGGGGGGCTCATTTGCTTTGTCGGACTGATTTGTTTCGTCGGACTGATTTGCTTTGTCGGACTAATTTGCTTTGTTGGCGAGTCCCAACCACCACGAGACGTAGGCTGGGGCGAAACAACCGCCTGTGGAGAGACCACTTGCTGTGAACCAATCGCAGGCCTTTCTTTATCATGGCGACTCTTGCGACGGAAGGGGCTGTTGCTAAAGAAAGCGCTCTTCTTTTTGGGTGATTTGTCATCCCCGGAAATTGGCATCGGTGCATTGTTTGTTGGCTTTACTACAGACTTCTTGGTAGGAGTTTCCTCGACACTGGAGATAGAGGTTGAGTTCGAAACTTCGCTCTGAGAGTCACGGCTAGACGGGCGATACGCGCTCGTTGCTGAGCTTCGCTCCGAAGGTGGCCCAGCACGACAGAACATGGTCATACCATCTGTGGGGTATGCATTGTGGGGAACAGCTCCAATCTCTCCATGTTGCTCGGGATCATAGTTCGGAGGCGGTGCACCGCCACGTCTGAAGTCTAGAGGCGCGGGTTGCTGAGGTTGTGGCTGTGGTGGCGGTTGCTGTCGCAGGAGAGGCTGCGGTTGCATAGGGGGCTGCGGTTGCATGGGAGGCTGCGGTTGCATGGGAGGTTGCTGGTGCATCAGAGGCTGTTGTTGCATGAGAGGCTGATGTTGCATCAGAGGTTGCTGTTGCATGAGAGAATTTTGTTGCATGAACTGCTGCTGCTGAAGAGGTGGCTGCTGCTGCAAGTGTGGCTGCTGCTGTAAGGGTGGCTGCTGCTGTAAGGGTGGCTGTTGCTGCTGAGGTGGCGGCGCATTGCTAACGGCCGGAGGAGCAGGATGTCCCATTTGAGCCGCAAGGTCTGACTGTGGGTCATGGTGTGAATCGAATGTTGAGGGTTGAGGAGAAGATGTGCGGAATGCAGGGTTCATGGTGCGTTGGAACTGGGCTACGGAGTAGCCGTCGACTTCGTCTATATCAGAGGCCGAGTCATCATCTTTGCAGAAGTTGATGAAACGGGGTGGATCTGGTATCTCTTGGCCAGTCCCTTGGTTCTTGATAAAGAAAATAATATCCTTCTCGACTTCACAGTTCTCCAAAGATAGACGGACCTTCTCACATGACTATATGCCGAATTAGTATCGCAAGTTAAGGCCGGACAGAACAAACATACAGTATCGTCGCTGACACAGACGGTTGAAGCAATGTTCGCGTAGGTCCACAGACTGCTCTTTGTGAAGTCCAGACGCTCCTCTTCCAAATCTTGGAATTTGTCGCATGCTGACTTCCATTCCTTGTTCCAGCGTCCAGTTGTCTCCTCGAGTTGTTTGACGGCCGCTTCGTATTCCTGGCTATTTGACGCCATCTGAATCTGGGTCTTCTCCAGCTTGGCCTTGTTCTTGCGCTCCTCTTGGCCCATGACCATGTGGCCCTGCGCGAGGTATCCCTTGATACGGAGACAGTCCTGCTCGTAACGATCACGGGTCTGTAGAATTAGCATTTTAATTCTCATCGCTCCCCAAAATTACTCACCTTGTTGACAAGCTGTGTTTGTTGCATTTTCGTCTTGTGTAAACGCTCAATGGTCTGTTGAATAATCTTTCGTCGCTCCTTGATACCGCTGGCAAAGGCAGAAAGTGGCTCCTCCAATTCAGTCTTCATTTGTCCCGCAATGGCAGCGTGTGCCTTGGCGATGGCTTCAGTCTCGCCGCGAACCACGTCGAGGGAGGCTCGAAGTGACCCTGTCTCGCATGATCCCAACGTCTTGCGACACAGAGCTTGGAGTTTCCGTGCGTATTCATCTTCGATAGATGCTCGAACTATACAGATGTTAGAATTCGATATCACCAAGGCTGCATACATGTCACGTACTGCTGTAGAAAACCTTCAATTCGTCGTTTGTGATCTTTGAACCATGCACGCGGTCCAACATTGGTTGAAGTCCTGCATCATCTTTGCCCCAAAAGTTGTTGGCAACTAAAATAATTATTAGCGCGTGCAAGGATACATTAGTCTAGTACCACATACAAGACATGGAGACCGTAGGTCCGTCTGCCACTGTCCCCGGCATTGTTATCGATGTTGAGCCTCGGCCAGCCTTTGCGCATGTAATCGAAGTGTGTTGAAATCAGAGGTACAAAGAAAAAATAAAAGTAAAAATAAGAACGATAAGACTGAAGAATAAAAGAAATTGTAACAACACAAAAGACCCTTGGAGGTCAAGGTGTCTGAAGTTCCAAGGTTAAAGGTGAGCGGAGGGATGTGCTGTTTACGGCCGCGTCTCTCGGGGCAACCACCGCGCGGCCGCCATGAACCGCGTTACATAAGCTCCATAACTATGTTGTAGTTATCTGCCCAAGGAACTTGTGTAAAATATTTATGTACAATTCTTCATCGGAGAATGCAATATGATATCGGAGATGTTGTCATAAAAATATTGATTTCATTTCGTTAATCTCGGTGCATCGTGCAACCATTCTATGTAATTCGGAGACCTATCAAGTATTCAAATCCAGTCTATTAGGCCAAGCCAACGCAAAAAAACCAATCCCATATCCACAAAAAAGTTGAAAAAACATGAAGAATTGTAGTCATTTCAAAATCGCTTCCGGTAAAAACGCCAGTCAAATATGCATTCCCAAAGCCATCATGGGGACAAATCAAGTCATTCACGATTTTTTTTCTTTTTCGTTGTTGCAATCATATCGTGCCATAAATCAAGGATTTCATCGGTTCATACAAATCCTTGCTCGTGCTTCTTTGGAAGAAGCGAAATCACTTGTCTCATGTCGTATGTCTTAGTAGACCACAGGAGTAGCCGATGCAGCGAAGGTGCTGGAGACAGGCAAAGAGACACTGGAAGAGCCCCAGTTGCGGACACCGCGGGCCACAAGAGCAGGAGAAGCAGAAGGTGTGGCTACAGAGGAAGCACTTGGGACGGGAGAGTACCAGCCATAGGACCCGCGGACAGCCAGAGGAGCAGCTGAAGTAGGGACGCTCGAGCTGGAGGGAATGCGGGAGGGAGAAGCGTACACATCGCGGGCAACAAGGGGAGTGGGGGACAGAGGCACAGTCACGCTAGAGTAAGAAGGGGAAGCGGAAGAAGACCCGTCACCTAAGCCTCGAGCCACGCGAGCCACAAGAGGAGTCGCCGAGGCAGATGGGGTAGCAGCAGAAGAGTACCAGCCACGGGCGACGAGAGGAGTTGCCGAGGCGGAGAGGGTAGCAGCAGAAGAGTACCAGCCACGCGCGACGAGAGGAGTGGCAATGACGGAAGCACTCAGGCTGGAAGAAGGTGCGACGGAAGCGGAAGAGAACAGATCACCGAAGCCGCGAGCCACGAGGGAACTAGGCGAAGCGGTAGGGGTGGCAACAGAAGGAGTGCCAGAAGCAACAGAGTACCAGCCACGAGCATAGAGAGACTCAGCGGCAGAGGCAGCGGGATACTTGGTTGCGTCCGGCGCAGCAGAAGAGGAGCTAGAGTACTCGCGAGCAAAGATAGCAGGCTGGCCAGCGGCTCTCAGGCCCCGGCGGAAGAACGAGTTAGGACCGGCAGCTGGAAGAACATTAGGGGACTCCCAGCACGGAGTAGAGCTAGCCACAGGAGTCGAGGACTGAACCACGCTTGAAGGGGTGGCTGTCACAGTCACAGTGATGGGCACTGGGTCGGCACCAGGAGCAGTGACTGTTGAGGTTTCGAAGACGGTGTCGACTTCGCGTGCAACTGCGCTGGAAGAGTCTTCATCGGCATTGACCACGGAGTAGGTTGCGCGGCGAGCGAGATCTTCGTTCTCGGGATTGGCGAAAGGTGCCGCGTAGGTCACGCTGATAGAGCAAAGAGCAAGGAGTGCAGCAGAAGAGAAATGCATGATGATGGGGAGCAATTGGAGCTTGCAATAATAATTGAAAGAGAAAAAGACGCTCAAAATTGAAGGCCGAAATGTAAACAAGAGAATGGAGATATGGGTGATGTTGGGAGAGAGGTTTGGATGGTTTGAATTGAAGGTAGAGAATTGAGAATGAAAGAGGACTCAAGTCCGGGTTTAAAAGTGGTATGAAAAAGATCTACTCTCACGGTGAAGTGTACAACATACTTCTATTGGGCCAAAAATAGGCGGCTGGGATCTACAGTGGCTGGGCCGGCAGCAATCCAGCCATGGCTTTTATGTTTTTAATTTATTTTTAATTGCCTTATATTGATTTTGATTGGGTGGAGGTAGATCTAAGTGAGCCCACATGGCGCATCTGCCAACCACGATGTTGTGGTGGGGTTTCCACGACGACATTAAGTAAGCAATTCGTGTGGCTGGGGGCTCCAGGGATCCACTGTGACACAACTGACATAGTATATTTCGTTTCACTGTCGCCTAGTTTCTTTTCATAGATCAAATGATGTCCTCATGGGCCAGATCGACAGGAAAGCCTAGGCAGCTCTCCTGTTTCACCAACGCAGCCGTCCTGATTGCCGCCGGCACTAGATGGCAAGATCTTCCACTCTTACCAATCCACACCCCAGCGCAGCGCTAGCCCACGCTGCACAAGGGTGGTTGGGGTTCCACCCAAGGGCTGTGACGTGAGTGTTTTCCTCGTAGATCGTCGAGGTCCCCATTCCATTGACGGGGTTGGTCTCGAACAGCTTGTGCGTTGCCAGCTTCTGGTTCTCTGCCCGGTATCCGTCATGAAACCGACTAGTTCCCACAGTGCCCGTCTTAGAGGTGGGAATCCATTCATGTGTAAACCATATCTGCTGCCATATTTGCTCCTTGTTGTAAACCACTCGTCGGAAGGGATTTGTTCCTACGACCTCGCCTGCGGTACTGCCAAATAAGGCACAGGGGTGATGATTGCTGCATTGCGCCATGGCCGAGATGGTGCTGCTAAGTCGCGCAATGGTGGTGGTGGTAAAAAATCGTCGAATTGGAATCACGCGAGCGAATTCATTTTCATCCCCGGCAACAACGGACTGGCAGATGGGAGAATAACTGACGTAGGGAGAGGCCCCTCGCATGCGGCCCGTCGAGGTCATTTCACTGGTGGGATCGAGGACCGACCACATCCGTGTTTCGCCATCCATAGAAATGGTGATTATTAGTTGGGGATGGACCGGGTATGCGGATGTGATATTGAGTATGTACGTGGCGTGGAGTGGCCGATAGAAATAAGGTGTAGGTTCAGACGCAGAGGAAGGTTCGATGTTCCAGATAGCCACAAAGCCATTACCGCAGCCCACTGCAAGATCACTGGGGGATAGCCAAGTGACACATGTGCAGACTGTTGATGGCGGTTTTGCCTCGAACGCAGGCGATTTGATTTTGACTGTATCTTGCACATTAGCGGGACTCGTGAGAATTTCTCGAAAGGGGTACTTACGGAATTCAGTTTCTTGTGACCTCCTACTTGTTTTTATATCCAAAACTCTGACATATCCATCTCCCCAAACTGTTGCGAGTAGACCAATGGATGCTTGTTCTTCTTCTTTGTCCTCCACCCGTTCGGTCCGGGGCAAATTGCACCATACCATGCGTCTCAAGTCCCCCCAGTCAGCACACAAGACTTGTCGAAGCCGGGGTTTGGATTCCATATCGAGGGTCATTGTAGGAGTCTCACTCGGTTTGGCTTTGAACTCCCAAATCTGCAGGGCGCTAGGGAAAGGCTCCGAGGGTTGAAACGATGAGATAGGCTCACTTTCTTCAGATTTGTACTGGTTTTTCTGAGCTTCTGTGATCGGTGCCGCCACAGCAAGATACTGGGTGAGACCATTCTGGTTTGGAGCCCAAGTCATGCAATGTGCCTTTTGACCGATGTTTAAAATCCAGCCTTCCCGAATCCTTTTGGTCCTAGCTCCTGATCCACCTGCTTTGGAGCCTGGTTTCTCCCAGGCCTTTCCGTAGTCAAAAGACTCATGATATCCCAGTTCGAATAGTTGTTGATTATCATGTGGTCCCAGTAAAATGCCATGTTTTCGCGTATCTGGCCGAGGGAGGTAATTTTGGAACGCCATTGACTCTTCAATCGTCTCAATGCGCTGTCGTTTCCGGAATCTCTCACCAGTTCCCTGGTCGTAGTACCAGTCCCATCCACGGGTGCTTTCTTTCATAGCATCATCTGGGTGAACCCCAAAAGTGGGCCCGTACAGGTATTCAGGTTTCTTCTCCGTCTCCTCCAAGGTGTAGCGAGACGGAAAGACCGCGTCTACGCCCTTGTTCCATCGCATTCGGAAGTGGACGGCTGGCATCAGGTCTCGATCGTCAGAACCGAAAGTGAGAGTGTAATAAGTGCCTTTGGACAAGTGATCTCTGGGTTCGATGATGCCACGAGTGTGTGTCTCTTCGGCGGATGGCACAACTGTTCCATCGGCCCTTCGTTTTTTGACGCTCGCGTCGTGTTGGAACGGTACCGAGCGCTCTTTCCTAGGAGTATTCCCGATGCCGTCGATCTCCATTTCTTCGGGGTCAGAGGCATCCGCTTCTAGTCCAAATTCTTCTTCTACCTCCTCTTCGGGTTCATCTTCTAGGTCGTCTTCTTCGTCAATTCCCTCATCACCTTCTTCACCTGAGCCAGCAACAAATTCATTATCTGAGGCTGAATCTTCTGTCGGGGCTCGCTTCTTTTTCCCCTTGCGAGAACTCTCCTGCTTGATGGAGTCCTCATCATCACTGATCCCAGCTGCCTTAAATGGATCATCAATGTAAACTGCCCTAGGGCCTTTGAAGCGGCCAGATCTGCGGCCGGAAGGCATGTTGCTTAGATAGTTCGCGTCGTTAAACAACAGTTAATTACACCAGTGGTGTGCATGCGTAAATTATCTCGGATTATCCAAAGCTCAGTAATAGACGTTTTACTGAGCAATTCAGCTGCGATATTGTGTATTGAGACGTCCGCTATTTGATTTGTGAAATTGAGAAGCTTCAGCAATACACGAAGGTCAAGGGCGGTGACACTAGTCCTAACATGGTTAGTCTTAGTCTTTATGCCTTAGGCTTCAGGCATCAATAGATCAAACAGTCCTCTTGACCAAACTGTGGACTACATTTCTCATTTACCAACAAACGAATTAATATTGCAGTGCTGAATGGCTTTAGTTCTCTATTTTGATATTTTAGCTGTTGGTTATGAGGTTGCCTAAGATGGGGACTCACCAAACAGTCACTTCCTGACTATCCCATCATACGTAGTATCACGATTTCCCAACAACGTGCACTACAATTCTATATTTAGGTCACCTAAGGTGTTGTGTAAAGCTATACACGTGCCACCCTACTACCCCAGAGACTTGATAACCTCATATGCTACATACTAGCCTTGTAAATTTTCTGGCCCTTGTGTCTGTAGGAACTGACTTTGGAGATTATGTCGAATACCAAGTCCGAATACATGGTAGAAACCAGGTAATATACCGGAAACATCATGTGACATTGGGTATCAGGCATACCATACAAAAGTGCATATTACAGTTAATCATCATTGTCCGCACAGATTGTTGAAATAGCGGGTTTTGTCATTTTAGTTAGAGTTGTCAACATTGGTCATTTATACCATATATTGTTCGTACACCAGCTTTCCGTCAGATTATATTAACGTCTGGTTGCGGTAACACAGTTCAGGTGCAGATACTGAGATATTAATAGTTTAATAATAGCAAAGCAGCATTTCTATTTAATCGTCAGAATTATATGTCACTCCATTACAACAGAAAGTATGTATAGAGTGCTACAGCATGGCTATCTACCATAGATCCAGCAGAAAAATGTGATATATCGACAAGTGATTGAGTGAACGTACATGGTATGCTATCATTACAACACAGAATTAGAGTGCCACACGCTCTTTTTCTTAAGGCAATGGCCCATCTGGGCTCTTGCTGTGATGCTGTGAGCTCTCAGGAATCAAAGAATCTCGTGATACTTGTGGATCGTGAAATGTGTGTCATCTTCGAATACTTTAGAGTATGGACTGTTAGATAGAAGTTTGACGTAGTACTCCGTCATGGGTAGCGGCGAATTCCAATTCTTTTCAGCATGCCAGATGTGGAGGTTGTTGTAAGTAATGTGGCCAAACTCGATGCCCCAGCCTTGTGACAGTAGCTTCGCCTCATATGCAGCAGGGCCAACACCCTGTGCAAAAGACTCAAATAATATGTGTAGCAATTGAGCTCTTCGTTCCTTAACAAATTCGTCATGTTGGTCCTGGTCTTTTGTCAGGTAGTCATTAACTCTCTGTGTTGCCATTTGTGTATTCATCCCATGTCTAAGCATCCACACCACAAAGGTCAACAAACCCCGTAGTCCAGCTGGCCAGTGTTCTGCGGCTAGCTTTGATGCACGATAGATCCAAGGCATATGATGAGCCCGAGCCCTCCAGTTGCCCGCTCCAGCAAGTACACCAACTGCGGACATCATGTCTTGAGGGAGTACCTGCGCGCACGCTAATGCATAGGGCCCGCCGCCGGAGCCGCCTATGATTGCAAAACTGGAGAGTCTTAGATGGCGGGCCAGTACTTGAACATCAGTGGGCCAGTCCATAATGCGCCGGTTTGGTTGGACTGTGGAGAGGCCGAAGCCTGGGCGCTCCGGGGCAATCACTCGAATTCCGCGCTGGTGAAAGATATTGTCTATCGCTAAAGCCTCAAGACGGCATTAGGGATAGCCATGAACATTAGCGGATGGCTTCTTTCACAGCCATATTCGGCATAGCCTAGGGTCCTCTCGCTCGAAAGCCGCATGGTTTGATCGACAAGCGAGCTTGACGTTCCGGTATATCGCCATTTTGTTGTTGGCTTGGGGCTTCTCATAGAAAATCGTATTTTTGCGGTCGGCTTCATGGTAGAAAATGAGTGAAATCTCACATCTTGACGAGCAGAGGGGTTTTGGATGTCAGACATACGAGGTACATCCGTATAGGGTTCACGCGGGTCGTCCTTAGCGACAGTGTGGGCGTGGCTTGGCCTAAAACGTGTAGTATGAGCCGCTGCACGGAGGACTCCGTATGTTATAGAGCAGATTTCATTGGCATAATCTACTTGAAAATATAAACAAAATGTTCAAGTCCATACAATTAGAGATGACCGATGTACTTTGTAAGGCAAACATGGCCGACCCCGCCTGCAAGATAATGTCAACCGCTGATCTCCCACCTTTGTCGAGTCTCACCTTTTCAACAACCACCACGTTTCTATCATGTCTTCACAGGCTAGTCGCGGGGCATCGCATAGCGGCGTCCTCCATGAATATGTATATCCTACGCTATCCATTCTACATGCCAAGCTAACGCCCGCAGGCTCCCAAACTCGTGGCCTTTGAGTTCACCCCACCAACAGAGGGCATCAACAAGACAAATAGCCTTATCTTCGTGGGCGGATTGACAGACGGATTCTGCACTGTTCCCTATGTCGCCAAGCTAGCCAAAGCTCTAGAAAATACCGAATGGTCGGTTTTCTCTGTACTACTGTCGTCCTCCTATGCCGGATGGGGAGTCGGAAGCCTTGATCGCGATATAGAAGAAATTGGGCAATGTGTGCGGTTCATTCGCGATCTCAAAGCGTCACGCCAACCCGGCGCACTGACAAAAGCCGGAAAGATTGCGATCATGGGACATTCGACCGGAAGCCAGGACGTGCTCCACTACCTTTATTCGCCGAACCCCGTGCCGCACAAGGAGTTTGATTTTGGCCTTCAGCACATGGTCCGCCCTGAGCTTGATGGTGCTATTATGCAAGCGCCTGCCTCTGATAGAGAGGGTCTGCAGGCTATTATCGATTCCTCTCCGCAGCCCGACGAGCTTCGAAAGGTCTACGATCAGCTTGTGGGCTTTTCCAAAGAGCAACCTTACACAGCAGAGAAGAACGACACAATCCTCCCATTGAACTTGACTGCGAAGCTTTCTTATCCTCCTGACACACCTCTCAGTGCCCGGAGATTCTTGAGTCTGGTCAGCCCTCAGAGCCCCGAGAACCCATCTGAAGATGACCTCTTCAGCTCCGACTTAAGCGATAAGCGTTTGCAAGAGACCTTCGGGAAGGTGGGCACACAGGGCATTGTCAAAACAAAGTTATTGGTCTTGTATTCTGGTGAGGATGAGTATTGCCCGCATTGGGTGGACAAGGAAAAGCTGTTGCAGAGATGGCAGCAGGCCACCGAAGCGGGAGGCGCCAAGTGGGATACGGAAAACAGCGGGGTCATTCCTGGAGCCAGCCACAACGTTCATGACGAAGGTCAGCAGGACCTCATTGAGCGAGTTCTACGATACCTCCAGACTCTCTGAGCGCTGGAGGCTGAGGATATTGAAGCATAGAAATGTGAAATCCAGAAGACAAGAGAACGTTGAATTGATATCGACAATAAACAGGTCATTGAAACACCAGCCAGAGGTGCACGGATTCAGAATAATGGCGGTCAGAAAAGGGTATATCACAGCACAGGCAGTAGGGAAGTCCAGGCATGATACCATGTCGGACTTGAGGCAAAGATGAATCGAAGCGTTGGGGTACTAAAGTCCCTGTGATAAGGCCCGATTTAGACCTTAATCCACAAGCTCAACACGCCCTTGAGGTACTCGACAATCTCGGATCCACCCAGCTTGCTCTCGCCGTACAGACGGTCGACGAAGGTAATCGGACACTCGGACACCTTGTAGCCCATTGCCTTAGCACGGACCATCATCTCCATCTGGAAGCTGTAGCCCTTGCTCTCAGTCTTGAGGATAACCTTCTCCAGCACTGACTTCTTGTACAGCCGGAAGCTACCAGTCAAGTCACTCACACCAGGCATCAACATGACATCCGCGATGAGGTTGGCAGTGCGCGAAGTGAACTTGCGGAACAAATCCCAGCCGTAGACACCACCCTTGATGTCTCCACGGTTCGCATATCTAGTTCCGGTCACAATGTCGGCGTCGGACTCCTTTTGAATTCGGATCATCTCAGGGATGAACTTGGGGTGGTGGCTGAAGTCGGCGTCCATGATGATAACAAAGTTGCCGGTGGTATGTTTCAAACCATGAACGTAAGCTGTGCCCAGACCGAGCTTGCCCTGACGGGGCTTGAGGACGATATGTTCCGGGCCATAGAGTTTCTGGAGCTGCTTCGCGATCTCGAGGGTACCGTCAGGGGATCCGTCGTCGACGATAATAACTTCCCAATCCAACTTCCTATAATTAAAAAAAAACCGATGTTAGCCCAAGCACTCTTGTTGTATACCAGCGCAGGTGCATACTCCTCGTTGAAGGTCCTCTGGATCAGCCAGATGATGATAGGGAGGTTCCTCCGCTCATTGTAGGTGGGAAGAATGACCGAGTACTTGTTCTTGGCCGCCGCCATTTTGAAGACCCACGAGTCAATTAATAAATTAAGGAGCGGTAAAGGATCCGAGCGAGGATCAATGAAAAGAAAAGAGAAAAGAAAAGAGTAGAGAACGTATAGCTGACAGCTTGTTGCATTCGGCAACGCCAGATCGCGGCCAAGTCGCCAGATCCGGAATATACCGCCCTGGCAGAATCCGATAGCTTATCGGGTGTTTTGCTACGACTTTAAGTAGAATACTTCAAAGGTTACTCTACTTTTCTTCCTAATTGATCTCTGAAACATCCCCAAAGGCTGTAGAGATGGATTCAGCATCAGACAAGCACATTCGGAATATATCCAGGTGTAAGTGCTCACTTCATTCCCCTCACACTTCAACTTTCCCTTACCGATTGCGTATGCAGCTTCTCGGCCCCGCAGCTCGACAAGAGGTCCTTTAGATGCATCAGACGAGTGAGCATGGTACCTTGGCTTCCGCCGCTATATCTCTTTTCTTACATGATCCAGCCCTCTCGCTCTCCCTGAAACACCCACCTCGCCTATCAAACACAAATCAATGCTTCTTGCTGCCAACGACACCTTTTCTGGGTCATCCTTCTACGAGTTGGATCCGCTTGCGCCAGACGATTTACCCGAAGGTTTAGAAAAAGACCTATCGTTTTTACTCCGGCATAGCAACTTTCATACCCTCTCCCATCTTGACATCCCTCCGCCACTACGATCCGAATTCCTTATCCTCAACCCAGGGGAGCCTTTATCAACCTCGCTAGGCACCCTCGAAAAGCTATTGGCCGAGGGTCGATTCCTCATTGCGGCCCATTTCTCTGCTTCTATCTTGACCTCATCTTTAATATCTCCGACGGATATAAAGATCATCTTTTCCCTTTTCTACACGCGCCTAGCCAGCTTGGATCTGTCGGGCAATACAGTTCTCGCAGCACAGGAATCGAAAGCCCTAGAAGATTTGAGTTCAGCGTTCTATTACATCGATCTCAAGCCTGAATCAGCTGCAATCGATAATGATAAAGATTCAGAACATGAACAAGAACATGAACAAGATCCTCGTCATATTGTTCCATGGCCACTTCGCGTACTGGCCATTAGACTCCAGAGTATAGGCTTCGGTGATTCTCGCCGAAGCATTGGCGGCCTATACGAGATCGGTCTGGAAGCGCGCCGAGAGATCATGAGAACGGAAGCTACTGAAGATGAACGAGAACTATGGAAACAGCGATTGGCAGATCTTGGGGTTAGAGCTGTGAATGCGCTTATAGAGATGGGTGATTTCGATTCAGCTAGGAGATCGCTTGATAATCTCCGGGCACCTGGGTCAGAGTCAAACATCACAAAGTTGAGGAAGGCACTTTTGCTTTTGCGGATTGGTGATCTGGACACAGCAAGCCAGGTATTTGGGGACGCTAATGGGACGAAAGAGGCTGTTTTATTGAAGCCTCTGATAAGCATGTCAGATGGTCGCTTCGCCGATGCAGTGGCTGAGTGGCGCATTCTCAGGGAGGATAGGACAAGGACGGATGGGGCTCTGATAGTTCAGAATCTGGCTGTGTGTCTTCTCTACACCGGACAACTGGATGAGGTATTTGATCCCTTTATCCCATATACCTATTTGAAGGGTGCTTTGAAACCGTTGACTGATTGTTTGTTCCTAGTCTCGTCAGCTCCTTGAGGCCCAGGTTTCATCCAACCATTCGTTTGGTAGTTTGATATTCAATTTGTCGACGGTCTACGAGCTTTGTACCGACAGAGCAACTCACATGAAGGGACAGCTGGCTGATACGATCTCAAAACAGCCCGTTACCGGACAGACAAATTTAGATCGGCCAAACTCAGACCTAAAGTTATAAGACTTTAAATTGAAAATCACTTCGCCCAGGGGGCCATTGAATTCAATCTGTCTGCACACGATCTAAATAATATTAATACTCCGTGAATGATATCCGTCTGTTAATGATACGACGTTTTCCCAACCAACGCCATGCAATGAAACGAACGCCACTGAATGCTCTTGTCCAAAGAAAGTCTAGCCCGACATGTATTTATGCACTCGATGCACTTGGCTCCGGCTTAGGAGGGGCCCTCTGCTTCAGTCGTTTAATGATAATCCTATCACCTTCCCGTTCCCAGCGAAGCTTCTCTTGCTCGGCCAATTTCTCCCATGTCCAACTCTGTTCGTCTCCTGTGCAGCCGCCCAAAATCCAACTGATGTGC